GGCTGACATTCCAGATAAATCCACCTTGTCGCTGTCAAATGCATCAGCCATTCCCATGCTCTTCAAAACAGGCTTCAGATCATAAACTTGCTCCAACTTAAATTTGGGTAAAAACACCTCCACTTTAGTATAGTCCATCATTTCTGGATTTATCCACTCTGTAAGTTTCTCATAGGTAAGTTCTCTTTCCAGCTACAAGAAAAAAAGGTCACAAAATTATAGAGGAAGAAAAGCCATGAATTTATACTAACGAAACAATGCCCACTGTGTGTGTTTACACAGTAGAGATTAGCATCCTCTCCTGGTCTGGAATGAATGTTATTGCTGTAGTCACAAGCCAAAAATAAATGATAGTCAGAAACATTCTTATTCTTTTTTCAATACAGTCAAAAGGTCCCCCAGTTAGGATCAGAGCTCCGCTGTGCTATATGCAGGTCCCGTCCCAAGACCATCCTTCATGGTGTCAAGTTCATGCAATTGCATGTTGTCACTAGTAATGACGTGTACTTGGCAGAGGTGGCTACTGTGGGAGAGGCATTACTATTTCGCTGTCCCTTGTCAGCCCAGTAACAATATAGCACAGAAAGGAAATCAGTAGCTCTTGAATGGAGGAGCACTTGAGGACTCCCATATGAAGAAATGTTAGGTAGAGGGTCAGATACAGTGAGGGAGAGCCCAATCCACAACAGTTAGAAAGGAATATGGGGGGAGAAATCCATCAAACAGGAATTGATTTTTGTGACAGTGGAAGCTCTCCAGGATCTCCTTCAATCTGTCACTCACTACATTCTGACTTCATCCCAATGCCTGGTCAAGAAGTCTCTCTTTTCAGAACTTAACATTTCTCTGGACATCAGAGAGAGCTGGGCTTACTTGACAGTGACACATGGTATTCCCATCTCTTGGGGGACAGATGTAACGCCTCCGCAGCTCTCCCACCCTGTGCTAATACTGGTGAGTTCGGAGATTAGGACGTGAATTCACAGATCTAAATGAGATTTTGTCAAATGCTCTTCTCTAGCAGGATTTGAGCTTTGTATTCAGTACAAATGCCTTACCTGCTCCAGGCCAGTGGAATTATCTTGGATTTCATCAGGAAGCAGGATGATCATACTTGTCTCGTTATCAACATAAGGGAGGTCAAGGATTTGGGTCTGAAAATCTGCTACGTAGCTAATGTTAAATTTAGCTTCCTTGAACATCATCTGCACTGGTTTGCTCTCATTCTTTAAAAAAAAAAAAGTATCAGTGTCAACAAGTACTACAGAGCCAGCATGTTGGTACTAAACTAGAAGAACTGGGATTCAAATCACATGGGACATCTGAAATTAGGCTGGACAGAGCACTAGAAAATATTGTAGGGAAGGGTCCTACCATTGCCCTTTGGGGTGACAGGGAATGAACCAAAATTCTATCAGGCTTTTCCCATTTGTAATGCCCAGTCCCTTGACATTTATTTTGAGGAAAACACTACAGGTATTTTAGTTGCTTACTGTGTAGCTTCCTATCAACACAATTGTTAAAACACTGGACCTCTGAGCCTAAATAGTTTCACACTAGTAGGCAGGAGATTTCAAACCTCTGAATGTTACATGGCAAATATGGCCACCGCTGCTATTGCCTGTTAATACAGAAAACGAGGGGTTGAGTGGACAGGGGCACAAAGCCAGATTTTCTTAAGGTTCTTGCCAGATCTTAGGAAAGGAGCAGGCAGCAAAAACAAACAGTGATCCTGTGAGTAGTTTAAAGAGAGTGGCTATTAGTAGAAAAAGAGAGTGGCTATTAGTATGCTGGAACGGCTGTTGGGAGTGTTCACGGTTGATATCAGAGAGGAGCCTAAAAGCTCAGTTAGCATCTGGATTCCTGCATGCTTATCTGAACTCCATTTCTGACAGTTCTTTAGTTCACCAATGACTAGTCAGCGTAAGCAGGCTGGGGATGAAAGAGTGAGTTTTACGGTTTGTTCTGGAAGCACTGAGATTTGTGATCATTCCTATGTCTTATAAAGTGAATTCCATAGTTGTGGGTCATCTGCCATCTTCCACTCGAGTTTTTGTGACTGACAATTCTGTAGTTCGTAATGAATTCTTTTAAAAGCTTTATTCCCTGTCATGAAGAAAACACAGTCCTTGAGTAGCTCAGGCCAGTTTCATAGACAGCTTTGAAGATTAGGGTCAAAACCTTAATATGACCCTGTATTCAATGGGGAATCAGCATAGTACTGATTCCCCCTCCCCTCCTCGAAGAAGAAAAGGGAGAACTAAGCAACTTCACAAGTTAGGGCTCTTTCTGGGAATGGCCTGGTATGAAAGATTAGCACCAACTCCCCAGTAGGTCTAAGGCAGGACAATACCATTCTATCAAATGCTTCAGAGAGATCCAAGAGTGTGAATGTATGTCTCTTATCCATGGACAAGAGCAGGTCATCCATCAACACTACTTGTACTGTCTATTACCTATCAAAGTCTGAAGACCAGATTTGGGGAGGTCCACTATACAGATGGTAAGCCGGTGTATCCACTTGCATTTTCATTACATTATCCACAAATAGGAAGGAGGTTAGACCCCCAAGCAGTAATTAGTAAAGTCCGTGGTTTCCACTCATAGAATCATAGAACTGGAATGGGAAAACTGGGATGCTAGGAAAAGTTGAACAACTTCCTGTATGTGTAGAATCCTGGTTTTCTCACTCTTTGGCCTGCCCTCTGTCCATTGAACCACATTGCCTCCCAAATGTTGTAAGCTGGGAAAGATCAATATATGACTAAACAAGAGGAATACTTCAAACAACCAGTTCTCCTCTGGTAGCAGATTTTATTCCATCTGCATCGGCATCTCTGTTTTGGCTCAGATTTGCTAATGCATTGCTAGATTTGAATATTTTGACACAGGGCCAGTGTTTGCTTCTAATCAGAATATAAAGGTGCCCCCAAAATGCTGTTTAGCTGAAATATTTTATGCAGTAGAAAAAGAATTCACAGTACATTGAGGAATTTCAACATTATGGGCCTGATTCTAGAGTAACTGTTGAAATCAATTTAAGTTACATTGGTGTAAAGCTTGTGTAAATAAGAACAGAATCAGGCCCATTGCTTTACTTAAGCATAAAATTTCCGTGGGTTTATTTCTGCCTATGTAGTTCTAAAATGCTGACTGTTAATATAAGGTACTTTTTTTATAGTTGGCAGAATTTTTCACTCAGAATTTAACACAGCATCGTTTTAAATATTGCGCAGAATTGCACATAATGCAGAAGTACATATATGCTTTGATTTTCTTTTCATGTAAATCGGATTAATTTTTAATGCTTGGGTGCCTAAATACCAATATTCGTTTCTATGAGTGGAAATGTATACTTGGTTCATAGGCTCATGCTGATGTTTACTATCTATGTCAGTATTGGAATTAGCACCACCTGAGTAATTTTTAATGTTAACTAACAGTGAAACATGATAATTCAAGATGTAAATTCAGAATATCTGGCAATAAAATAACATTGGTCCATGTTTGTTTGGAAAAAAAAAATAACATGCTACCAAGCTAAAACACTTCCCTTTAAATTTACAGCATCGGAGGAATATATGTCTACAATACATAGGAAGTATTTGAAAACTGGTTTATTTTCCTAAAACGTATAGGTACTAGAATAAGTTTTTGTAAATTCTAGCCATGATAGTGGAAGGGTTGGTATTTGTACCATTCAGTAATCAGGTGGATTAATTTACAGTCCTTTTAAACTAATCTTCTGGTTAAGGCCCTGATCCTGCAAACACTTACTCAAGGGTTTAGTTTTAAGCATGTGTGTAATCCCATTGAATTAACAGAATTTATACCATACGATTGGTTCTAATGCCTATCTGTTTTCTTAAAACAAACCAGTTTTAAAAATACCTCCTCTGTATTGGGGATATGTATTTCTCTCACAGTGTAAATTTAAAAGGCCGTCTTTTATCTTGGTAGTATCTGGATTTTTTCCAATCATAGAATCAAAGAACCTAGAAGGGACCTCGAGAGGTCATCTAGTCTAGTCCCCTGCACTCGTGGCAGGACTAATTATCTAAACCATTCCTGACAGGTGTTTGTCTAACCTGCTCTTAAAAATCTCCAATGATGGAGATTCCACAATCTCCCTAGGCAATTTATCCCAGTGCTTAACCACCCTGACAGTTAGCAAGTTTTTCCTAATGTCCAACCTAAACCTCCCTTGCTGCAATTTAAGCCCACTACTTCTTGTCCTATCCTCAGAGGTTAAGAAAAACAATTTTTCTCCCTCCTCCTTGTAACAACCTTTTACATACTTGAAAACTGTTATCATGTCCCCTCTCAGTCTTCTCTTTTCCAGACTAAACAAACCCAATTTTTCAATCTTCCCTCATAGGTCCTGTTTTCTAGACCTTTAATCATTTTTTGTTGCTCTTTACTGAACTCTCTACAAATTGTCCACATCCTTCCTGAAATGTGGTGCTCAGAACTGGACACAATACTCCAGCTGAGGCCTAATCAGAGCAGAGTAGAGTGGAAGAATTACTTCTCGTGTCTTGCTTACAACAGTCCTGCTAATACATCCCAGAACGATGTTTGCTTTTTTTGCAACAGCATTACACTATTGACTCATATTTAGCTTGTGGTCCACTATGATCCCCAGATCCCTTTCCGCAGTACTCCTTCCTAGGCAGTCATTTTCCATTTAGTGTGTGTGCAACTGATTGTTCCTTTGTAAGTGGAGTACTTTGCATTTGTCCTTATTTACCTCAGACCATTTCTCCAGTTTGTCCAAATCATGGCTGCCTGACTATAGCATGTGTTGGGCTGGGAAATAAAATTCTCTCTCTAAAAGGTGGCATCGAGAGATAGTAGGACTTCCAGGCACTCCTGAATGACTTTCACCATCCAGGAAGGTATGAGTAAATATACAATGTGGCTCACATTTCATTCAGTTTCTTGGTATGCTCTTCAGAGTCATGTCACCAGTCCCTGTTTGTGCTACACCTCTACCCCGATATAACGCTGTCCTCAGGAGCCAAAAAATCTTATCGCGTTATAGGTGAAACTGCATTATATCAAACTTGCTTTGATCCGCTGGAGCGCTGCTTTACCGCGTTATATCCGAATTCATGTTATATCGGGTCGCGTTATATCGGGGTAGAGGTGTATGTGGAGACAGCCTCAAGAGGATGCATGAGCTTCCCCAAGAAGGAGGGCTGGCCTATCACCACATTGAGAATTACTGTATTATGCTTTGGGGTAGAGTAGATGCACTTTAAGATGAGGAGATTTGCACACTGTGATGTGAGTAGCTAAAAAAAAGAAACCTGATATAATTTGTGTATCAATTTAATGGTGGAATCCATTTTAAAGCAAAAGTGATCTTGTTTTGATCAAAGTTTGCTGTAAACAGAAGCGTTCCATGTGTAAAAACATCTGAACACATGCGTGTTCCCTTCTGCTTGTAGACAGTAAGGGCCCAATTCTTCTTACTTATTTTTTATACTATCATACCCCTTGGAGTCCCAGTCATGGACCAAGACCCCACTGTGCTAGCAAGAAGACCGACCCTGTCCCGAAGAGCTTACAGTCTAAGTATAGCTGTTTTAACTCCACAGACTGCAGTAGATTTGCTCCTGATTTACATTGCTTTGAGGAGAATTAGCAATAACCACACATTTTACAAATCAAACCTTATAACACATGAAGTAGTTGAGCATTTTTCATGTTCCAATTTTATCATTGGGTAAAAACTGAAGCAAAGGGGACCAATTTCTGTAAGTAACCATAATTCTGTGGTAGTTGTGCACACAAAACAGCAACAGATTCGAGGACAGGGATGTTAAATGACTTACAGGTTCTCTAAACACTGAACAATGTATGGAATCCCAAACTGTCTGACACTCATTTATCCACGTTCTTCTCTTACATTTTAAAATTCTGACTATTGTAAGTTCTGTAATTATGTTCAAGGCTACTGTCCTCCAATGCTGAAAAGATACACAGAGAGGTATAGCAGAAAACAGAGAGAGAATGAAGGAAACAAGGGATACAGCCACGTTAATGCATTTATTTGAAAATGTAGTTTCAAAGATGTTTACAATAAACTAAACAAAGGGGTTGTGTTGAGGGGATGGGATGGGAAAGAATAGAGGGTTGTGGTAAAATGTACTTAGGGCAATCCTGATTAAAAGCATTTCTTCTTTTCTTTGGGTGAAAGTGTAGTGAAAAATGAGTGACATTTTCCTACTTCATACCTTGTTAATTTTAAATTGCCTTTCCACTGTGCAATCCTTGTTGAATTGGGTTGCCCAGTTGCCTTTGAAGTAGATGGCGTTCACCAAGACTAGTCTGGTCATTGAATCAACAACACCCTGAGCCAACAGATTCTGGATTTTACCTTTAGGACACATTAAAGGAAGCATAGTTTTTAGCTGATAGACACCTATCTACCTAGTTGTGTTATTAACTACAGCAGGGGTCCTCTACGCGGTGCCCAAAATTCTTGTATTGTGCAGAAGTTAGAGGCATCCAGGTGCACCCACCTACTGGCCGCCGGACAAGCAGACGCCGAAATGCCACCGAGAAGCGGCAACGTCAAGAAGCGCTGCCACCGAATTTTGGCGGCATTTCGGCAGCGACGCTTCTTGATGACGCTGCTTCACGGCGGCATTTCGGCGGCAACGCCTCTTGATGTTGCCGCTTCTCGGTGGCATTTCGGCAGCTGCTTGTCTGGCGGCCACGGTCCTTGGCGGCTAGTCATCCGGCGCCCGCCCCACGGAAAAGGTTGGGGACCACTGAACTACAGTATCCTTTAACATCTGCACAATACAAGAACTACATCTTAATCTGAAGGATTCAGTTCTGTTTTTCTTCTCCTTCTCTTATTGTATCTCTCCTATGGCCATATGCTTTTTAAGCAGGCTTTAGCTGTTTAGAGAGACACTGTGGAACTCTGCAAGCTACTTACCTTCAGTTTTTTCTTCTACCCAGGAATTTATGTATTTTCTGGAATCTTCTGCAGCTCTAGAGAAGTCAAGTTGTTTTAGCTCTGCATGATAGAATTTCTGGCAGGAGTCTATAAATGTCTAGGACAAACAAAGGAAGATGTCTTAACAATATATTTTTCTGGTGTGCAGTTGTAGAAGACTCAAACATAGAATCTACCTTTTCTTCCTCCATCCCTTCAGAAAGAGTCAGTCTTAACACCAACTTGTTGTCACTTCTTTTCAAACTGAACATTTTATTTTCTATTATTACATTCTTAGTCCGAGCAGCCAGCTTACTGACAGATCAACAACAAGACTGCATGATGAGAGTGATGCAATCAATTTGAAAGTACAAGTAAATCGGTCTCTAGATAACGTTTTTTGTAACCCTCCCAGAGTAACCCAAACCTGATCTAGTTTAGAACTGAAATCTCAGGGGGGTTATTTCTATATCTTTTTTGTATAGTATGTGTGGACCATAATAACCTGCTCTTCAGCCTTATGAAACGTCTACTGTGCAAATGTCAATAGGTCAGTAATTATGTGGTTAGGTCAAAATCATGCTCTCTCTCTTTCCAATTTGTATTTTGAAGTCTTCTATTTTATGGACTAAATGCCAAAGATGCCAAGTTTAAATATTTAATCAGAGTGGTTTTAACTTTAATTGAGAAGAGGATCTCTGGATCTGAGCCAATATATACTGGCAATCCCTTTTAGTAATAAAATAACTGTAGATTGCGGAGGGTAAGGTTGATTGCCTTACTGAAAATGTAAGTTTGTTTTTTTGAGTCTAGAACTCAAGTGAGACTTTCAGTTACCTCTTAATTTTCTGAGATGAAAGAAGGGGGTCTGAAAGAGTAAGGTTAAAATCAGGGGTACACTTTTTGGATACATTTTAAAAGGGAAATATATACCCCAGTACCCGTTACTCTCAGCTAAGTCTTTGGAGAATTTCTAATCGCTCTTCTGTCTGATTTAAAAAAAAATATATGTGCCCCTTGCTGTGTCCTTTGAATGCATTGTCCAATTTAAGGGGAGGGAAGACCCCCCCCCAAAAAAAGTCACACAATAATGCCTATGCTCCTCCCTGCCCACCATTTGAAGGAAATTCTTAAAATCTTAGCTCCTGGCCAAGAATGCCTGAGTGATTAATGGAATGCTGAAGAGTTGGGGTTTGTTGGACCTTCCATTGACAGCACTCCGCTCCAGTTCTCTAGAGTTCAGAGCTAGCGACTGTCAAACAATCAGCTGAGCACACAAATGTTTGGATTTTACAAGGAGACTTGCTTTGGTTAGTCAGATCCTGAACTACATAGTGCCTGTAGATTAAAGCCAATCCCTTGATTTGCACTCAAAAGTGGAAACGTAGCAAATGTGTTATAACACAAAAACAAACTCAACGTTTGACTTACTGCAAGAAATTTAAACGTCTTTTCCCCATAGAGCCGGTTGGCAATCCTAAGCACATAATTAGTGCCTGGTTTGTTAATTTCAGAAATAAGTGACTGGTATCCATTATGAATCTCTTCAACTTCGTCCAGAGAAAGCACCTATAGAAAGAGAAAGGAATACACTCAGCATGACCCACATGTGCTGAAACATGTGCTTTGGGACAGGTTAGTACAATGCCTTTCAGCAGCTTAGAGATGAAAGCTGCAGCCTGAACACCCAAGGCAGCCCTAAAAGGGAAAGGATTTCCCATTACACAACACATTTGGAGCTCATTGTGCTGATTAGAAGAGGGAAATTTCATGATAAAACATTTTACCATGGAAATAAACATAGCTGTTTTGAAGAGACACTTCACTCCATTCTAGCTTTAGGGCACATAAAATGAACAGTTCTGGAGACTTTAAAGGAAAACCATCAACTTGAAATCTACTCAGTTTCAAAACATGAATTTAAAGTAGCTTCCGGTCCTATAGTTGTCTCTATCTTCCCATGTCGATTTTTGTAGGTTTATCGTTACTTTCTTTTAATTTGTTTCATTGCGCGAAAGAGCCTGACAAACAGGGAAAATGTCTCTATGGAAGAAACAGTGAAAAACAAAGTGCTGTCAAATGCATAAGTATACAAACTGGGGGAAATATCCCTTATTTTCCCCTAATCTTAACTGTTACTTGCAACACTAAGAGGTTAAAAAAAAAATTCAGACAAGGTATGACTTATGTTGACGGTATCCCTTTCAACAGTCCTTTCCCCAAAGCTTCCAGCAATGTTTTGGAACTATGCCTTCAATTCAAGCACTACCATAGGATGCTGCTGCCTTTGCAACAGGGTCTCCATTTTGCCTTCCATAATGGATTTTTGTTGCATCATTTTATGTTTGCATTGTTCCATTTCCCATTCTTTTTCTTCTTCTTCTTCTTCTTCACTAAGATGAAGCACCTGATAGTACAATAGTTAGCATAGGTTCTCTTGGGAATACATTCAAGAACAGATCTGGATCCTATTTCAGCTTAAACGTTAGTGAAATGAAGAAATGTTATGGAATGACCTAGTGCTCCAGTACATTAGTCATTGCTTTAATATGAGCAAGATTTATTTAACAGAGGTCAAGAATGGCTCTTCTAGTATGAAACACAATAGTGAAGTAAGACACCCTAAAAAGCCCTTTCTAAGGGAAAACTTTAGCTCTACAGTGCTTCAATGCATGTGGGCAGGCAAATGCCCCAAGTGACAAAAACCCAAGCCCAAGACCCCAGAGGCTTCACAAAAGGCCAAACAGCCAACAGGGGAGACTGGCAGCTTATCGAAGGCACTGTCCCCATAGGAACCAACAGGCCCAATTCAGCCAAATGCAGTCTGAGATAACTCTGCGGGAGACCCATGGTAAGTCTCTGGGCTAAATTGACTGATGTCACATCTCGTAGGTCAACATTTTGAAAATCAAGATCAAGCCAAACTTTGCTTTCATTTACATAGGTGTAAATCTGATACAATTCCATTGAAATCTAATCATTACTCCAGTTTTACAACAATGCAGCAGCAGAATTTGTCTCAATGTTTAAATAAAAATTGTAGTTTAAATAAATAACCCTAGTATCAAAGCTTAAAATTCATCCTCGGTTTGAGTTAAAGTGACACTAAAAAGATTGAATTTTTACAAAAATACTACCTCCCAAATGTTGGGTTTGCTTCCAAGTAATAACTGCTAAAAAATGCCATAATATGAATTTCATAACAATTGCAGAGCTGTTGTACTGGTTGATATTTTGAGCAAGAGATTTTACTGACACACAACAAGAGAATATTCGCACCCACTAGTACATGTAATTTTTAGCAACGTCTGCTAGTATGGTAGTTAATCATTCTAAACAAAAGACATATACATCCCAATTCTAAAAGTCCTTACAGATTATAAGGAATCGGTTTCAACTCCACCCTATTTTACTGTTGAAGCTGCAAGTTTAGACAACTCTTCTCCTCCCCTAAGCCAAATATTGTACAAGGCTCTAAGTGGACAGCTATAAATCTAGTTTTGAAATTTGTAATTCTCACCCCAGGAAACCGAGCAGACTACACTAAAAACCCACAAGCTAAGAGAACCTAAACGGGTATGTAACTGCAACACAGAAGTCCTTCTTTGCAGACAGATCTCAGGGCCTCAACTCCATCCTCATCTTCCCTGACTCCTGCCAATTTTGCCACTATTGATCACTCTCCTTTTCTAAATCTTGTTCTCCCTTCGCATTTGTGACTCTGTCTCCTGGGTCTCCTCTTAGGTCTTTGCTTGACCTTTCAGTGGGACCTCAGGGATCCATACTTGGCACCCAACTCTTCTTCCCTGGGCCCTCTTTCACTCTAGAAGTTCTGAGTGCTCACTGGAACAGGAGTTGGCATTAAGAGTTTAATGAACTAGGCCTACATTTTCAAAAGTGACTAGTGATTTTTTTGGTTGCCCAACTTGACACCTTAAAGGGGGCCTGATTTTAAGAAAATGCTCCTGGCTATGTTATTAAGACATATTTAGGTGACTAGTATAATCTGATATTAATCCCAGAGAATGTAATTGAAGAAGTTCTTTTCTAACTCTTGAGGCAGCTAGACAGCTCTCTCTTTTTCAAGGCACCTCAGCTGTATGGTGCCACCAAAATCCTACTCTCAGGCACACAAGGATGATAATGGGAGTTTTCCATAGGTACAGAACATACAATAGAGATCTGTGGTTCAGCTTCTAGACCAAGATTGTCTTAAGTAGCTCAAGTTTATCCAGACATACCTTTGCCATCTGGGCTGCAGTGTTACCTTTTGCACCCAAAAAAACCATGGACAAAGCAGAGGAGATACTCAAAGGAGAAAAGAATAAGTTCTGTGTATTGGCATTTTCACTCAGCTTTTTGAATAGGTTGAGTGCAAAGGTGGTGTTTGCTTTACTGAGATTATCCATGGTTCAGAACCTATAAGACAAAACACAAAGAAAAGATCACATAAGATACAGATTTAAAATGTAATGAGTATTTAATGTGCCAGGTTCTCAGCTGGTATAAAGCACCATAACTCCACTGAAGTCAGTGGAACTACTGGTTTTACACCACCTCAGGATATAGCAAAGCATCAAATAAGTTTAAGGATCATGTGTTCTCTCTCTCTCTCTCTCTCTCAAAATCTGAGTTTATATAAGAGCCTTCAGATAACAAGTGGGACAAACTCACACAAATTGCAAAGTTTTCCAACTACAGCATATCTTTTGGAAATACAGCCAATCTTAATTTAAAAGTGTGAAGTGATTGAGAAGCCATCAAGTCTTTTGGTAGATTATTCCAATGATTAATTATCCTGCCTGTTCAAAATTTGCACTTTACTTTCCATTTGATTTTGTCAAGCTTCAACTTCCAGCTATAGGATCTTGTCATGTTTCTGTCTGCTAGATTAAAGAACCTCTTCTACCAAATATCTTCTCTCCATGTTGGCACTTCTCCCATGCATGAAACACCCTTCTTGAACTAGTCTGCAAAGCAACTTCAGTCCCCATATTTAAATCTTTCCTGAGGGCCTACTTCATATGTGACACCTACAAGCCAGCTAATTGATTACTTATTTGTTTTAAGGTTTGGCACAGGACCCATAACTTCACTAGGTAAGGGTTAAGGGTAGCTGGAAATCATCTATTTCTCACACAAAAAAGAGCAAGGGAACAAAATGACATTGTGTTATTAAAACCTTTTGTTAACAAGACACAAACAATTGCAACTTTTTAATTTTGTTATAACCTTCACAGAGTAGGGATCACCCCTTTTTAATGACTGGAAATTGCCGAAGATATTACAATGTTGCTGGAAACAAATAATAAACACTTTAAATCTTTTTTTTTTTGAATGAATGAATGAATGTCAAAAAACTATTCTGCACTCTCTGAATACTGTGAATAGTTTGAGTTTTTAAAATTCATCTCTCAAGTTTAAAAAATTGTGTATGCATATCTATCTCCCCTTGTGTGGGAGCATAATGGGAGCAAAGGCAAAAGCAGCATTTAACAAGCTGTAATGTTTTTGTAGATACAGGCAATCCTAGGACCTGTGACACAATTGGTTCCTTTTTGCATCACATGTCGTAACATCGTAACTGCAATCTACTCCATTGCGGGACCGAGCAGCGTAAACTCAAAACCTATAATCATAAGTCAAGTCGGGGTGTCAATGTAGAAGTGTCATAGGTGCTGTTCGTCGTAACTCGAATGTTGTAAAGTCGAGGACTGCTGGTATATTGTTATCTTAAAAACTAAGACTCCAATCCTGCAATAAGTCTGCATGTGTGGACCTCTGTAGTCTCATAGAGCTCCATAAGGCAGTTAGTGGGGCTTTATGCAGGGCTTGTTGCAGGATTAGGGCCTAAAGTGTATATATCCATAAGTGGCTCCCTCCCCCCCCCCCACATACAGACACCTCAAAAATAAAAAAGCTTGTTTTACATTGAAATAATACATAAGACTATCTGGTGATCACAATGTCACATATCTTTAGATATACAGTTAGCTCTATTTGTAAAAAGGGGGGGGGAGTGAGGGGCCCAGAATGTGCATAAAACAAGCAATGAGTCAGAAAAAACTAATCCCAACATTTCAATTAAAATGTAATTCATGCCCATGGTCTAATCTTCCAATGAGTTTGTACTGTCTGTTTTATAGACTTATTAGAGACACAAGATGGAGGAGGTAATAGCTTTTATTGGACCAAGACATTGCCTTAGGCTCAGTCTAGAATAGCATAGTTTATGCTACTATACAGAGTTTATTAACATAACAGTGGTATGTACTCTGCAAGCGTTATTGTCTCCTTCACTCCATGGCTGCAGGGATTCATTTAGAGACAAGTCCGCTGTTTTAGTGGCTCAGTAAATGGCAGAGCCAGGCACCTCCCATCGCCGGAGCCTCTCCCACAAGAGTCAGCAGCCAAGGCCGGACCCCTGTATGCGCAACGGATTTAATAAATCCCAAGTACCAGCAACCTGTGCTGCGTGTACCACACCCACCAGCTCTGTCCTACCCCACCGGCAAGGGAACCAGGGGAGGGTCCTTGGCTGACACTGCAAAACCCATGGCAAGGTGCACAGCATCACAGGGTTCCTCCTCCACCTGGTCTTACCGGGAGGAGGAAACCACAGGCTGAGCCACCTTCTCAAGGCAGGGAAAGGACCTGAGACACCTATTGTGAGTTGTGGATTCAAGGTTGAGGTGTCTGGTCTCTTAGGAGCCTGACTCCTCCCCTGTCCCCCCCAGACAGACCTGCCCCTCCACTCCCGCCCATCCCAGCAGGAGCACAGGGTGCTGCACCCCCGGGCTTGCGGTGTTTCCATCACACACCGGGTTTACAGTTCGGTTCCTGGCTCTCAGCGCCCGGAGCAGCGTCACTGCAAGAGACACAAACTCACCGGACACCAGCGAGACCCCCCCGCCCTCGGCTGCTTGACCCAACCGTGGGGCCGATGCCCGGGGCGGACTCCGGCTCCCAGCGCCTCCTCCCGCCCGCCAGAACCGAGCGGCCCTGAGCCCCAGGCTGGAAACTAAACCCAAGTCGCAGCCCCGCTCCCCGCCCGCCCCCGGCTCGGGGTTTCTACCGCGCCCGAGGCAGCGAGCGCGGCAGGACCCGCCCCACACGCAGGCGGCCCCGGACAGAGGGCGCCAGGCCGGGACTGACCCAGGGGCGGTGCTGCGGGACCGGTGCGGAATCGGGCGGCGGCTGCTGCGGGGAGCCGGGCGCGCAGGTCGCTGAAGAGGCTCCGGTGGCGCTGGACAAAGGGGAGGCGGCCTCGGGCTTGTGTTAGCGCAGCTCAGCCCCGGGATCCCGCCCTCCTAGAGCCCGGAAGCGCCGGGAGCCACCACGGGGCGTTTCATCCCTCAGCCTCCGCCCGTCCCTAATTTCCTGCACCAGCGGGTTTGAGTTGCCCTGGTAGGGTTACATGTCATACATGCTGCTCCCGGCAGTTCATAGAAGCAAGTCGCTAAGGCCCTGTCTAGACTAGGAAAGGAGATGTGTTTGCCAAGTGTGTTAGCGAATATTTCAAATAGCATGATTTTAAACACCCCTGTGCAACCTGATGCAGACAAAACAACGGTCTTTTGAAAAGTCTCAGCTGGGCATAACCAGTGCTTAATTTGT